AGCCTGAATTGCCTGTCATGGCCTCGTCGCTGTCTATGGGGGAGAGGGACGAGTTTCTGTTTAATACTGGAACAGTGGACCAGCCCATTATTTATCTTGTACATCATGGAGAGCCTGGATTGTCGTCGTCGTTTCTCCAATGGTGACCAGCCTCCAAACAAGTGGAAATGAGGCAAGCAGGTCGTCGCTGCCAATCCAAAAGTGCGGTCGTGCCAGACGACGAGTTAAAAGTACGCACCAAAAAAACGGACGCAAACATCAGGGCAGGACAGGTGGTCGAAAATACAAACTGACCGAACTAAATTCGGACGTCTGCTGACCTTATGCTGCTGTTTACGTCTTTAACTTTACGAAATCTTTAACGCTAAATTGATATCGGCCTACTTTTAAACTGTACTCACGTTTCTCTGCTTATCTTTCCTGAATTAAGAGTGTATGTTCAAATAAAGTCTGTGTCCGTAGTCCCATTTCATTCGTAGTCTCCACTGGCGAATTTCTCGTTTTAAGTTTGATCTTGTTTTTTTACGACACGGTAGGTAAGTTTCAAAGAACATATTGTTTCTTTTCAAGCTTTAATCATGTAGCCCAAACGTTTATGAATCAAAGACTTTTTTTTTCTACCCGCATTTCCATCCTGCTTGTTTAATTTTTTTTAAATTTTACACACGTGACTCTCTCGCTCAGTTGAGCGTTTGTCTCGAGAAGCGCACCATGTATTTTTTGAACATTTAAATTATGTTCTACTTTTTTAGTGCGTCAAAACTTGGCTTGATAGAGAATATATATACATTTTAGTTCTGATCACTCCACTCATCACATCACTCTAGTCATCAAATAAATCCAATCATCAAATGACGACAATCGCTCAAAGGCCGCCCTTTGATGATCCCCATGCCAGGAAAGATGTTCGACATGCGTTATTTCCGTTTCATCTTTCTCTAACCAATCTTCTATAAATTGTCGTGTATAGATATTTAGACTTCTTGCAATTTTTCACCAATTTAAAAAAAAAAATCGTTTTCGCGGGGCCCTAAAATAGCATAAGGCTATGGGCGCCCGCAGGAGGGGGGCCACTTTGCCCCCCCCCCCCCCGGAAAAATGGTAAAAAAAAAATTTAAAAAAAAAAAAAAAAAAAAATAATAAAAAAAAAGAAAAAAAAAAAAAAAAAAAAAAAATGCCAGCTCCATTCCTTCACTCAGTTTTGATCTCCACAGATGTTTTGCCAGCTCCATTCCTTCACTCAGTTTTGATCTCCACAGATGTTTTGCCAGCTCCATTCCTTCACTCAGTTTTGATCTCCACAGATGTTTTGCCAGCTCCATTCCTTCACTCAGTTTTGATCTACACAAATGTTTTGCCAGCTCCATTCCTTCACTCAGTTTTGATCTCCACAGATGTTTTGCCAGCTCCATTCCTTCACTCAGTTTTGATCTCCACAGATGTTTTGCCAGCTCCATTCCTTCACTCAGTTTTGATCTACACAAATGTTTTGCCAGCTCCATTCCTTCACTCAGTTTTGATCTCCACAGATGTTTTGCCAGCTCCATTCCTTCACTCAGTTTTGATCTCCACAGATGTTTTGCCAGCTCCATTCCTTCACTCAGTTTTGATCTACACAAATGTTTTGCCAGCTCCATTCCTTCACTCAGTTTTGATCTCCACAGATGTTTTGCCAGCTCCATTCCTTCACTCAGTTTTGATCTCCACAGATGTTTTGCCAGCTCCATTCCTTCACTCAGTTTTGATCTCCACAGATGTTTTGCCAGCTCCATTCCTTCACTCAGTTTTGATCTACACAAATGTTTTGCCAGCTCCATTCCTTCACTCAGTTTTGATCTCCACAGATGTTTTGCCAGCTCCATTCCTTCACTCAGTTTTGATCTCCACAGATGTTTTGCCAGCTCCATTCCTTCACTCAGTTTTGATCTCCACAAATGTTTTGCCAGCTCCATTCCCTCAGCTAGGAGCAGGTGACAAAAATTGTTTCACTTAGATAGTCCATCGAACAGATCGCTATCAAAAATTGTCCCTGGTAAGATTTCATTTACATAAGTCACACTTCTTATTTCACCCCCAAACAATATTTAAAACCTTTCAAAGTGAACAGACCAACGCTACAGATAAGTAACACGTGTACCATAGAATGCAATACTTGCTTTTCTCTCTCTCTCTCTCTCTCTCTCTCTCTCTCTCTCTCTTTCGCATTTCTTTCTGCTTCCTCTAAATCTCTCCCTTTGAGCGGAAAATATTTATGTTCCAGCCATCCCTGGCACGTTACCATGAGACTCTTCAATCCCTCAGCTACTTCAACAAATGTTGCAGCCTGGCATTGAATCTTTTTGACAGTGAACTGAAAACATAGCAGCATGATTGTGTAGGAAATACAGCCGAGCTCTGCAGTTGGTTTTTTAACAAACAAAAAAAAAAAAAAAAAAAAAAAAAAAAAAAAAAAAAGCTGTTTTAGCAGTACGCACTTGGAAAACAAATTCCTGTCAAGTTTTCAAAGAAAATGCCCAAGTAACGCGAAAGACGGAAGTCACCCTTCCAGCACAGTCCACGTCACAGACTGCGGCAGGTAGTCTCACACGGTTTCACGCAGGTGCAGCAGTAATGCCTTCCATAACCAGAAATGTTCCGTCACGGTGGCGCTGAAATTATTCATCGCGCCGGCCCTTTTTGGAGAAATATTCTTCTTCTTCTTCTATATCTTAAGGGCCCACGATCAATTTATTGATCATTTTGGCTCCTATGCATGTAGATGGGATTTGCAATGTTTCTGTTACTGGTGGTGATGAGGAAATTATGCACTAGGGGTTTGAAGGCTTGAGGCAATAGACACAAATGTGTCTAGTGTTGTCGCCTCAACCGTTCCTTTTGAAAGATGGTTCCAGTCCCTGATTGTCT